TTATTCTGCCATTCCATAAAATATTACCACTTGCACAATTCCTTGTAAATTAGATTTTGTACTAAGTATAATAAGGGATTTATTAAGTCCAAACAAGGTTGTAAAACAGCTAACCACTATTCTATGTTTAGTTTTAAAGTATAATTACTATGTACTATTACCTTATCTAGTTTTAATTAGTTACTGTGTATTAGGATTAGTTTGCCCAAATGCCTCGGCATGATAGTGGCTATCTTTGTACTTAGCAAAATCAAAATTGAAATTTCCCACATTGTAACCTTTAAAAAAGAAAATAAACTTATTATTATTATTATTATCTTCCCCTGACTGCCTCCTCTTTTAGTTTATACACCTTCACCTCTCCCTTACATGCTGCTTCTATTTTCCTTGTATCCCATCTACCTTTTACTCTCACTGTAGCTACAACTAGAAAGTGATCTGAAATATTTTTGGCCCCTCTATAAACACGTACATCCTAAAGTCTACTCAGTAGTCTTTTATCTACCAATACATAGTTCTACAAACTACTGTCATTATGCCCTGCATTTTTCTTGATATTTATTTACCCTCTTTTTCTTAAAATACGTATTACTTATAACTAAACCCCTTTCTATACAAAGTTCAATCAAAGGGCTCTCATTATCATTTACACCTGGCACCCCAAACTTACCTACCACACCCTCTCTAAATGTTTTTTCTTACTTTAGATTTAGGTCCTCTACCACAATTACTCTCTCACTTGGTTCAAAGGTTCCTATACTTTCGCTTAACATCTCCAAAATCTCTCTGTTCTCTCCTCTACACTCCTCTCTTCTCCAGGTGTATACACACTTATTATGACCCACTTTTTACATCCGACCCTTATTTTAATCCACATAATCCTTGAATTTACACATTTATATTCCCTCTTCTCCTTCCATAAAATGGGCTTTTTAACATTATTGCTACCCCTTCCTTAGCTCTAAAATCTCTCAGATACTCCTGACTTAATCCCCTATATTTTCCCCACTGAAACTCGCCTGCCCCCTTCAGCTTTGTTTCGCTTAGGGCCAGGACATCCAACTTCTTTTTTATTCATAAAAATCAGCAATCATCTCTTTCTTGTCATCTGCACTACATCCACGCACATTCAAGCATCCCAGTTTTATAAGTTTTTCTTCTTCTCATTTTTAGTAAATCGTACAGGAGAATGAGTTACTAGCCCATTGCTCCCAGCATTTTAGTCGCCTCATACGACACGCATGGCTTACGGAGGAAAGATTCTTTTCCACTTACCCATGGACAATTTGAGAGAAAAAAAAAAAAGAACAAGAGCTATTTAGAAAAAAAAGAAGAAAAACCCTAGATGTGTGAATGTACTCACCTAGTTGTACTCACCTAGTTGAGGTTGCAGGGGTCTAGTCCAAGCTCCTGGCCCCGCCTCTTCACTGGTCACTACTGTATATATATATGCATGTGCATGCCTGCGTAGTGTGACCTAAGTGTAAGTAGAAGTAGCAAGATATACCTGTTATCCTGCATGTTTATGATACAGTAAAAAGACACCAGCAATCCTACCATCATGTAAAACAGTTACAGGTTTTTGTTTCACAGTTACCTGGCAGGATGGTAGTACCTCCCTGGGTGGTTGCTGTCTACCAACCTACTACATTAGTTAAATCTGTATATAATATAGATCAGCTTATGTATGCTGCAGGTACTTAGGAACTCAACAAAGTTTACAACTTCAAGCTATAGGGCAAACTTATGAAACAATCGTCTTTTCTGTTATTTTCCATACAAACACCCTTCAAGGGAGGTTCCTTGATGCTTGTGAGAGGCTCTTGATCTAGGGAATTGGATCTGTGCTGAATACCTTCCATCCAGCCCCGCACATGCGTTGTATAATTTTATGAGTGGCGCTCCCCCATAATTATAATAATATAATAAAAATCTATAAAAACAACTTGTTTGCAAGTTTAAAAAGTCAGGAACACAGCTTGTACATCATCAGGTCTAAGACAACTGTATTTTATCTATTCCTAAGTTTTTAAGGGTGACAAGGAAGAATTAATTAATTTTATTTAGGTGCAGGTACACATAAATACAGTTACACAAATTATTGTACATAGTAACATATGTGTAAATTACCTAGGATAACCCAAAAAAAATAGTCAAAATGACTTATTTTTCTTTTTTTGTTAATTGTGATGATTGACATACTTCATATGGCTTGTAAAATCATATAATAGCCATACATTCCACATCATCCATAATATTTTATTTATAGCAGTAAAATAATTAACAATTTATATGTAATTTTAATACATAATGCACTTCCACTTTCAGATTTCTTTAGATCAATGAAGGTTTTCACTAAGGTATTTGAGGAGTTAGATCATGGTAATGACTATGATATTTTGTATATAGACTTCAGTAAGGCTTCTGATAGAGTCCCATATCAGAGACTATTGAGGAAAATTAAGGCACAAGGAATAGGAGGAGAAATTTTTTCCTGGATAGAAGCATGGTTGACATATAGGCAGCAGAGAGTTTGCATAAATGGATAGAAATCAGAGTGGAGAAGTGTCACGAGTGGTATTCCACAGGGGCCAGTGTTGGGCCTCTTGTTCACGATCTACATAAATGACATAGATGAGGGAATAAATAGCAACATAAGCAAGTTTGCCGATGACACCAAAATAGGCCATCGAATTCATTCTGACGAGGACATTAGAGCACTTCTTGAAGATTTGCATAGATAACAAAAAGGCACAGTACTGTGACTGGAACAATACACAAATAACCCGCACATAGGAGAGAAGAGCTTACGTCTTTGTAAATGGTCCAAGTCGGACTGAAATGTTATCGTAAGCTCCTCTCTCCTATGTGCTGGTGATTTGTATAAGATTTGAATAGACTGGTGCAGTGGTCGGAGAAGTGGTAGATGCAGTTTAATATAAACAAATGCAAAGTTCTAAACATTGGACAGGAAAATAACCATGCCACATATGAAGTAAATAATGTAGATCTTAATATTACTGATTACAAAAAGGATTTGGGAGTTCTGGTTAGCAGTAATCTAAAACCAAGACAACAGTGCATAAGTGTTCACAATAAAGCAAACAGAATCCTTGGGTTCATAGCAAGAAGCATAAATAACAGGAGTCCTCAGGTTGTTCTTCAACTCTGTATCCTTGGTTAGGCCTCATTTTAATTATGCTGCACAGTTTTGGTCACCAAATGGATATAAATGCTCTGGAAAACACACAAAGGAGGATGACAAAGTTGATCTCATGTGTCAGAAATCTTTCCTATGAGGATAGACCGAGGGCCCTGAATCTGCACTCTCTAGAAAGGCATAGAATTAAGGGGGGTATGATTGAGGTGTATTAATGGAAAACAGGAATAAATAAAGAGAATGTAAACAGCATGCTAAAATTATCTAGTCAAGACAGGACTCACAGCAGTGGTTTTAAGTTGGAAAAATTCAGATTCAAGAAGGGTGTAGGAAAGCACTGGTTTGGTAATAGAGTTGTGGATGAGTGGAACCAACTCCCAAGTACCATCATAGAAGCTGAAACATTGTATAGTTTTAACCCTTAAACTGTTCAAACGTAGATTTATGTTTACACATGTAGTGCTCTGACCTTGATTTTCCCCATTTGAAAGCGCGTAAAAAAAAGTAGATCCGCGTTTGGAGCGCTATGCGAGCGAACGTAGATCTACATTTGGACAGTTCAGGGGTTAAAAATAGGTTAGATAAATACATAAGTGGGTGTGAGTTGGACCTGACTAGCTTTTGCTAATAGGTCTGATGCCATGCTCCTTCCATAAGTGGATGTGGTCTGACCTGAGTAGGTTGGGTCATTAGCTTAAGACAGGGGGAAACTTGAACCTGCCTTGCATGGGCCAGTAGGCCTGCTGCAGTGTTCCTTCTTTCTTATGTTTTTATGAAAGAGGAAGTGCTGCAGCCAATCTACAGCTAAGTCTAATTGTAATTAGAGTAAATATTGCCAGTTGAAATTCAAGATAATTTATTCCCAATTTTATTTTTAATAAAAAAATTGTTCCCAATTTTATTTTTCCCCATTTATGTAAACTTTCCAATACGTATACGTATAAAGTATCATGTGCTGCTACTCTCGTTATCAGTCTCTTGTGAAGTATCAAAAAAGGCTTTACTGATGGTCATTTAAGCAGTACTCAGGATATATTGAGGTTTTGATTAATGCTGCCATCAGTGCATCTTTGGTTTCAGCAGAAAACTACATTTGGGAGTATAAAAAATTTATTTCTGCATCATGAACTGTGAAGAACACTGAGTTTCTTCCTCCTTTCCAAATTGTGATACTCCAGCTGATAACTGGAGTTGACCAGGTGCCTCCACCTCCACCTCCACAAGACTAATGTAACAACTCATAAGTATGGCAAATGATTGTTTTGTGAACAAATAAGTATTGAGACAATATTGGGTCTTGAAGTCATAAATACAGTATTGTAATAGGTAGCAATAAGTGTAATGTGTCAGTAATATCAACTGCATCCTCTGTGGTCACTGTGATGAAAGCCATGTGCTTTAAAATATAATTTTAAATAAAATTATTTGTGGGTATAACATTTTGTTATGTTCCATTTTCTCCCTTTGTATTATTTGTTCTAAAGTTATTTATTAAACTTTTAGTGCAAGAAAAAGGAATGTGATAACAGTTATGATGTAATCTGTAAGAAAATTTAAGCATTAATTAAGGTTGGCAGGTGATGGCAATTATCAGGTGATGTAATCAAAAATAATACCATAACCATATTGCTGTACAGCTTTATGAGAGAGTTTACTTAGTGATAACTCATACATAATGACATGTGTTATGTATAAGTAATTAAGACTGACAGCATGATAATTAATTGATATAATATGTACAAAGTACTTAGTTACAAGTTAAAAATTAGGTTCTTTGTTTATTAAAATATTAAAGCTACTTGTAATTAATGCCATACATAATGAAGAAAATTTCTTGCAGGTTTTGAATGTGAAGGAAGACTAACATTGAAAGTGGTATTTATGGACCAGCATATAGGTACCATGAGTTACAGCAAAATGGATGATGGTTCAGTAGGTACCAATAAGACATTCATTAATAAGACATTTGTCATTAACGACGACTCTTACATTAAAGCTGAGAAACCCATAATCATAGAGGACCTGGCAGATATAGATGATGATACTTATGTATATTGTGAGACCGAAATTGACCAGATTGGAGTGGATGGAACAGACGATGTAAGACAAATCATTACTGTATCCCAAGATGAGGACAATGAAAACACTGTCTGCCGAGTCTGCAGTAAGACATACAAAAATAAGAGTAGCTTAGCTACTCATCTACGTGTCAAACACAATCTCTCGACAGAAACCCGTGCCAAAATGCCATGTTTGGAATCTGGTTGTGACTTTCGTGGGAATCGAATTGCCAGACTTATTTCTCACCTGATTCGAGCTCACAAGATGAAATTCCAGTGTGAGAAAGTGACGTTTCAACAGAAAGATGGTAAGAATTGTACTTGATATACAGTAGACCGTCGATTAAGACGGCAGTTAGGTCCCTGAAAATGCAGTGTTAGAGATGAATCCATGTTAAAGGAACTGGAACCCCAAAAAAGCCAAACAATTTTTTTTTTTTAGTCTCCAAATCTTACAGAAATAAAAATAATAATGCAATTGTTGTTCATTATTGCTACAATCAGTGGCAGCTTTTAGCTAAAATTAGTGGAGGTGCTGCTTCAGGAAATTTTTAGCCGTTGTTTTAATATTGTGTAAAATGAAACAAGCATATAAAATGAAAATTTATACACTTGCAGTCACAGAACTTAATTCTTGGGGATGCAAGGAGACCTTGATTAAATTTAAATGTTCTGTAAAATAAAAGAACCAAAAAAAACTATGAATTAAGTAAAATACAGTGGAACCTCAAAAATCGAACGTATCACATATCGAACGTTTCAAAAATAGGACCATTTTTTCGGACAAACTGTGTCCCTATTATCGAACGCGCCCCTATTTTCGGACTGCTGGGTACGGGACCTGTCTGCCGGCCCGCTCTGTTCGCGTCCCCGCGCAGGCACCGTGAGCAGTCCAGCTTTGTTTATGCTTGAGTGAACACTAACCTTCGCTCTCATTCACGCATTTTACGATTATTTCGTTGTGTTTAGTGCTTATGGGACCGTGAAATAAGCTGCCATGGGCCCAAAGAAACTTGCTAGTGGTACCCCTGTGGTATAGAAAGTGAGAAACACCATAGATGTGAAGAAGGAAATAATACAGAAGTATGAGAGTGGTGTGAGACTTGTTGAGCTTGCCAGGATGTATGGGAAATACAAGTCGACCATCGGTTCTATCCTGTCAAAGAAAGAACAAATCAAGGAAGCTGATGTTGTGAAAGGTGTTAATATAGGGAGTGGATGAGGTGCCTTCTTCAAAGATTAAGGAGATTTGTGCCAAGTGGAATGATGTCCAAATGTTTGTGCAGAAGTACCACCCTGAGCAAGCTGAAACAAGCCATCTTTGCAACAAGTTCAGTGACAGAACCATGTCCCATTTTAGGGAAATGTTAAAGAGGCGCCAGAAACAGAGGACTGTGGACAGTTATTTTGTGAGACAGGGGTCCAGTGACTCTCAAGCTGGTCCTAGTGGCATGAAAAGACAGAGAAGGGAAGTAACCCCAGAGAGGGCTTTACCTGAAGTCCTCATGGAGGGGATTCTCCTTCCAAACACTAACCCCAACTCCCTCTCTCCTCCTCCCTATCTTCCAGATGCCATCACCAATCTTCAATAAAGGTAAGTAAAAATGTTATTTTATATGTATTACTATACATAATTAAAACTATAATATTTGTTGTATGTAAAACTGTAATTAATCTCTATAAAATGTATTTTTTGTGTGAATATTTTTGGGTTTCTGGAACGGATCAATTGTATTTCCATTATTTCTTATGGGAAATATTGCTTCGAATTTCAGACTTTTCGAATTCAGAACTAGCTCTTGGAACGATTAAGTTCGATTTTTGAGGTTCCTCTGTAGCTGGAAGCATGATAATCATCTAATTCTACATGGTAGTGTACATGGTTTTTAAGCACAACACACGTCACTGAGTCAAAAAGAAATACTACCTTACACTTGCATAGGGCCAGCACTGCGTCAGCATGCAGTATTTTATCTTGGACATGTGTGCATGCACACAACAGCCAAACACCAAGTCGCTGGAACTGTGAAGCGCACAGTTCCATACGAGGATTTTTGTAATTTTTTCATGTACTAAGGGATGGCTACTGACATTAAGCATAAGGATTATATAATATACAATTATAAAGAAAGAATTAAAGATAAAAAGACTCATTATATTGAATGTTATTGATAATATCGAGTGAAAATAGGGGGTGCTGCAGTTCTGCAGTGCCTATACATCAATCAATCAATCAAGTTTATTCTCTATAAGGATTACAATGCGGGGTTTATGAGCCGCCACTGGTTACAGTGTATTATTTTTTTCTGTTGCTTAAGGCTAAAAATGCAACAGAAATAATATTTCTTACCTTAAATTGTGGCTGCTGGTGTTTGTTGATGATTGTAAAGGAGGGAGTGGAGGCATGCTGAGGCCCATGTGGGCTGAGGCAGATGGTAGTCTAGTCAGTAAGTCAATCCAGTCAAGTGAGTCAGTATGTCAGTCAGTCAGTCAAGTCATTACAGACATTCAATTCAGTAGATCACTCATTCAAGTCAGTAGGTCACTCATTCAAGTCAATCAGTAAGCCATCAGTCAGTAAATCATTCATGTCAGTCAGTCAGGTAGTAAGCAGTAAGTATATCAATGAAGTCGTTCAGTAAATCAGTAAGTCAATCAGTAAAGTCATTCGGTAAATCAGTCAAGTTGGTCAGTCAAGTCAGTAAGCAAGTCAGGTCAGTAAATCAGTCAAGTCAGTAGGTCAGCCAGTCAAGTAAGTCATTCAGTAAATCAGTCAGTCAAGTCAGTCAGTCAAGTTGGTTAGTCAAATCAGTAAGCCAGTCAGTAAATCAGTCATGTCATTCAGTAAACAGGTCAGTCATTCAGTAAATCAGTCAGGTAAATCAAGTTATTCAAAAAATCAGTAAATCAGGTCAGTCAGTAAGTCATTCATCCAGCTTGTGGCGCAGAATTTTTTTCCCTACCGAGAAGCAGAACCGTTTAAATTGAATTTTACGAAGTGTGAAACAAAAATATGTCACAGTTTGACAATAGTGTAATGGAGAAAATGTTTTAAAGGAAGCCTTCTTAATTGATGATCTACTGTATCACTAAAATTCTTGAGTGTTCTTGTCTTTTCTTAATTGGTGTCAGGATTTCTTGCATACACTCATTAGAGTCTTTAAGTTTTAATATAAGCTTTACTATATCCTCTAATTGAAAACTTTGCTTTATTAGCTATAAACTAAACATTAATTGAAAATATTTTTATATTTGTCTTAGTATTTTCTCAGTTTGAGTTTTAATTTCAGTGGTTCATGAAGAGTCATGGTAACTGAAACATTCACTAAATATGAATGATACACAAACAGCAGTTGATCTCAGTTCTAAAATCCTATATTATCAGTCAGTACTGCCAACCAGAATTTATTTTAGTACTAGGTATCAAGAGCATTAATTACCATCCTTACTTTCTAGATTTTTGGAAATGGAAAAAAGAGGCCGAGGAGAGGTGTCGAGCATCATATTCAGCTCAAACTTCAGCAAAAACAATGGTGTCTGGAAATGTTAAATTTTTTCTTCGTTGTCGTCGTAGTGGTTTTATAAAACCTGTAGATTCTAAGACATCAATGTCACGTGCACGTTTTGTAAAGAAAAACAGTATGAAGATTAATGCTGTGTGCACATCATTTATGGAAGTGATTTTCTTAAAGGAAGGAGGAGCCACAGTTCACTTCTGTAGGACACATTATGGTCATGATGAAGATGGTTCTCATCTTAGGATGAACACTGAGGAAAAGGAGATGATCAAAGAACTTATTCTTGAGGGCTATTCTGCTTCAAAAATCATTGCCATAATGAAAATGCGTATGCCTACTCATCGTCACCAGCTCTTAAAGTATGCCAATGTTCGTAATATATCTGTTAGACAGAATCTTTTTATGACTCGGGGCAAGGGACTTGTCGGAAGTAGTCGTAGGGTATTTTTAAGGAAAATACCGAAGTGCCTTTTGGTTAGACCAGGAGAGGATTCTTCCATGAGTTTGCAGGTCGAAAATGAGATTGAGGTGAAAGCAGAGATATCAGAAGCTGATAATTCTCATCCAACTTTAATTATTCAGACTTACTCTCAAGAAAATAATGAGCACCAGGAATTGAAACAGTTAAGGAATGACATTCAAACAAAAATTGAAAGAATATCTCGGTTGACATCAGGCTTGGTTTCAGACACAGCATTAAGACATTTAGGCGAGAGTCTAGATAGTATTACAAAAGCCTTGGAAAAGGAGAAACGTATTGAAGTTATCCCAGAAAATTCTGAAGCCACAAGTATAAAACAGAATATTATTTTGCATAAAGATCCTGATGGAAATACTGTCTTACTTCTGTGTTCCAATAAAAATATTGAGGATTTAGTAGCTGATAAAAGTCTGAATGTAGACTTGAGGAGAGCAAATTTTTGTGTAAGTATAAAAAAAGAAATGTAAATAGTACTAATAATAGTATAAAATAATATTGTTTAAGTCACCTTTAATCTTTCAGCAGTACTTATGGCCAGTTCTGAAGCAGAATAAAGGTTATACTGCTGAAAAAGAATAAAGACAGACACATGTAGTAGAACAAGTTTTTGTCAAGACAACATTTTACTCAAAGGAGAGTTAAAGTAATAACTTGAAAAAGAACTCTACAGCAGAACTTGTCATGAGAAAGGTTTGTTCTATAGTGCTACTTGGGTATTTGTCTCCAGTTCTGAAATTAATAAAAACTGAATTAATGCATATCATCAGGGATAGTTCAGGATTTAAGTTTTCTTCAGATTATATTTTTGGAGGGTTGTAGTGGAGTATATTGATGTTTTATAATTTATTATAATGATTTTAGTACAGTACATTGATGTTTGATAATATATTCTGATGATTTCTTTTTGGCTGATTACTAGAGATTTTTTTATAATTTTTATTATATTACATTACCATACAGTTTAATAATGAGTTTTATTAAAGAAGATTTTATTGAATTATTGTGTACTGTCTACTCCAGAGAATTCAGCTGCCCTCATTTGTTTTTAGGCTATACAGAAATAACCTGCACTTAGGAGACTGAAAATTATGACAGTGTTTCACTCAACTTATACCATAAGTCATGAGTGTGACTTGTAACTTAATGTTGGACTAAAATGTCGTCATAAGTTTCAATCTTCTAAATGTGGTTTATTTGTGTGTTTTTCCAGGTACATGAAGTCAAAACTGCAGATGCTGTTTTGACTTCATGTAATTATAGTATGTTTCATTAACAAATAACAGGTTAAGTGTATGTATGTTCATTTTGTTGTGAATAGTTTTTTAAGGCATTTGGGGAAAAATGGCTAGCCAAACTTGAGTCCTGGAGGGGGATTTACACTCTGAAGGAAAGGTGAGATGTTGCAGTTTGAAAGGTCATATGAAGTGTGATATCTGCTCACTTCAGGCAAGAAAGCTATTGAAGGATTGATGGTGAATGTATGTTTTTTTTTTATTTTTATGTTCAACCTTCCTTGTTGGGAGACAGCCACTTTCATTAAAAAATGCTGTAAGGATTGTTATATTATTATTATTATTATTATTATTATTATTATTATTATTATTATTATTATTATTATTATTATTTTTTAATGCACTGGCTGTCTCTCACCGAGGCAGGGTGACCCGAAAAAGAAAGTCTTTCATCATCATTCGCACTAACACTGTCTTTCCAGAGGTGTGCTGATTTGACAGTTTAGATGCCCCTCCAAACAGCAAATATCGCAAACCCATCCTTTATAGTGCAGGCACTGTACTTTCCACCTCCAGGACTCAAGTCCAGGTAACTGGTTTCCCTGAATCCATTCACACTGCTCACACTGCAACAGCTCATCAGGTCCCAAAAACCATTTGTTTCTGCTCCTATCTAACATGCTCACACATGCCTGCTGTATGTCCAAGCCCCTTGCACACTAAACCTCCTTTACCTCTTCCCTCCATTCTTTCCTAGGATGACCTCTATCTTGCCTTCCCTCCACTGCAGATTTATACATCCTCCAGGTCATCTTATTTTGCTCCATCCTCTCAGAATGACCAAACCACCTCAACAACCCCTCCTCAATTCTCTGAATAATACTTTTTAGTAGCTCTTTACTTCCTTCTAATTTCCAAACTACGAATTCTCTGCATGATATTTACACTGACATTACATCTCCACTGCCTCCAACTTCTTCCTCACCGCAACATTCACAACCCATGGTTCGCACCCATATAAGAGTGTTGGTACTACTATACACTCACACATTCCCCTCTTTATCTTCCTGGATAATGTTCTTTGTCTCTACAAATACCTCACTGCACCATACACCCTTTTTTTTTTCCTTTCAATTCTATGGCTTACCTCATCTCGTATACCCATTTACCGACACGTCCACTCCCTAATACTTTCTGAACACATTCACTTCTCCATACTTCTTCCCTCCAATCTGATATCCAATTTTTCACTGCCTAACTTGTTTGATACCCTTACTCTTGTCTATGTTCATTTTCAACTTCCTGTACACACCATCACAAACTCGTCCACTAACCTTTGCAACTTCTCTTCAGAATCTCCCAAAAGCACAGTATCATCAGCAAAAAGTTACTGTGCTGACTCCCATTATTATTATTATTATTATTATTATTATTATTATTATTATTATTATTATAGATAGTGCAGTAAAGCTGTTCATGCTGAACAAAATTCTGCCCATATTTTCAAGTTTGAATAAAGTTACAAAAATTAAAGAAGGAAAGAAAGTAAAAAAAAAGGACAAATGTATTTTGGAAAATTACATATTACAGTGAAGCCCTTAGGAAAGGTTCTGAAAGTTATTTTTTATTTCACCTTTGTAAAGTCTGGTGCAGTGCTGTATGGCCCTTGTGGGTTTGGCACTTAGTTATGATTGTAATGTAAAGTCTGGCTAAATTTATTTTGAGATGTCCTTTCACCATGTGCAGAATATTTGCCAAACAATTTTGTTTGTGCTTTCTGTATGAAAAGCAACTATGCATTTTAGGCATGATGATTGAACATGCCTGAATTATAATTTAAAGTTCTTTGTATACAAACAAAGAATTGTAATGAAGATCCACGTGTACATATTTTTCTGTCAGGTAATTAATTTTCTTTGTATGTTCTCCAAACTTTTGTAAATTCATTATTTATTTCTTGTCAGTAAGTCACTATTATTATCTCATATTTCTTAAATTCTGTTGTAAGTTAATCACAAATCTCACTCTGTATATGTTTGGTTATATTATTGTGTATGTAACATAGCAGTAAATAATAACTTAACTAGGAACTCAACAGGATAATTTTCAGATTATTGTTTGCATATGATAAGTATTAAATACAGTAATACAGTACTGTACAGGTTTATGATTTAAGGGCAGAGTTAATTTTTGCTTTCCTCCGAATTTATAGTCTGTCTTTGTTATACATGCAAGACTTTGTTTTGTGTCATAAGAGCATAAGTAGTAGTTTTAATCAATCTTATTTGTGAAATATTTTATTTCCAATTGAGGAATTTGTCTTGGAATAGGCCATAGGTCTGATGATTCCTGGAACCAATTAAAGTACAGTATATAATTTATAAAAATTGTAGAGAGAACAAAAGGAGCAGGAAATAAAGTACAAACTCTTAATAATACACTTTTGTCCTCTGGATATTAAACCTAATTATATTGCATCAAAATTATACACCTTGTAGCATTCTGGTTCATACTACTTCCATACTGTTATACTTCATCTCCCTCTAACATTTTGGTATTTTCTTTCTCATAGCCTCCATTACATCATTGGTATTGACCACTTTTCTTCTGACATAACAATAGGTTTTAAGAAAGATACAGTTGGACACTGATCAACTGCCCTCACTTGCTGTCCCCTCACCATATTGACTCAAGTTTGAAGGGATAATAGGGAATACATTTTTATTTTACATATAATAATGCAGTATGTCTTCTCAGGATAGTAGATTCTACACCTGTATATGTTGGATGCTGGTCATTTCTCCATGTGGTATCCATGAGTGAGCCGCCTGTGTCCAGTATGTAAGCGTAAGAGTTCAGTCTCCCAAACCTGATAATGTTAGGAAGATGGCCAGAATTCTAAAAGTAGTTTAAGAAAAAATAATTTGTTGTGATCCACTGCGGACCAACTTTGTTGCCATCAGTTGCAGAGGTGGTGATAGAGCACTGAATAGTAGTCAAAATAAGAAATAGCCTGTGGCAAATTGGAAGGTCCATCCTGCAATAGGATGAGAGTGAGATTGGAAGTGATTGAAAGAGTGAACATAAAGTTGTAGGAGGCAAGTGGGCTTTTGCACATGAAAAGGGAAAAAGATACATGAATCATCAGAACTTTCCAGGGAGGGAGAAAGGAAAAGTAAGATGCAGGGAAAACGTAAAGGGAAGGTAAACCAGGGGAAGTCATAAGAAAATGAATAGATATAACAGGGCATGTTAAATAAAGGGCAATTAAACAAATTTGCCTAATATCAGTTACTGTTTTATACATGGAAGAGTCATAAAAGTCATGGAAGCAGACAAAGGAGACAATGGGCATTGCATTGATCTTGCAGAGAAAGGATGTTCACTTCTGAAAATAGGCTCTCGGCTGGGAATTGCCACAAAGTCCCAAGACATAACCCTTGATGATGAATGGGATCAAGTGTAGAAGAGTAGTGGGGAGGAGGCTGAAGAATGTAGGTGGTTGAGTTTAGATAAGATTAGGGATGAATGAAGGGTTGGAATGATCATCTAGTGATGACCATTTCAATCAGTGTATCATTCTAGTGATGACCTTTCCAATTCTATTGTTGACCTTTCCAATCCTATTATTCCAGTAATGACCATTACGATCCTATCATTTCAGTGATGGACCTTTTCAGTTCTTTTGTTTTAGTAATGACCATTTCTGTCCTATCATTCTAATGACAATCATTTGAATCCTATCATTCTAATTATGACTATTCCAAGACTATCATTCTAGTGATGACCATTCTAGTTCTGTCATTCTTGTGACAAATATCTCATTCCTTCTGTTGTTCTAATGATGACCATTCCAGCCCTTTCATTTAAATGACGACCTTTCCAATTGTTTTGTTCTAGGAGTAACCATTCCAATCTTTCTGTTATTCTAGTTATGACTATTCTAAGCCTTTCATTCTTGTGACAACCACTCCAGTTCCTCTAGTATTCTAGTGATAACCATTCCAATTTCTCTAGTGTTCTAGTGACAACTATTCCAGTTCTTTTATCCTAGTGATGACTATTCTAATCCTATCCATCTAGTGATGACCCTTCCAATTCTTCTATCATTTTAGTTATGACCTCTCCAGTCTTATTGTTCTAGTGATGCCCTTTCCAATCCTTCTGTCATTTTAGTTATGATCATTCCAGGTCTAACATTCTAATTGTGACCATTCCATTCCTGTCTATTGATTAAGTGATGACTTTTCTGTCAATCTACTGATGACAGTTACAATCCTGTCATGATACTGATGACCATTCCAGTCCTGTTTTTCTAGTGATGACTGTTACAGTCCTGTCTAGTGACAAATACCCCAATACTTCAGTCATTCTAGAGATGACCATTCCAATCCTCTTCTAGCAATGAGCATTCCAATCTTTTTATCATTCTAGTGAGGATGATTCCTATCCTATTGTTCTGGGGATGAACATTGCAATTGTATTGTTCTATGACTACCATTCCAGTTCTTCTGTTGTTAGAAATAAACGGTATAAAATACCGACACAATGGAAATATAAACACATAAGCAGTATAATGTGATCCTTTATTGACAACGTTTCGCTCACACAGTGGGTTTTATCGAGTCACAAACAGATATGTTTGTGACTTGATAAAGCCCACTGTGTGGGCAAAACATTGTCAATAAAGGATCACATACTGCTTATGTGTTTATATCTCTTCTGTTGTTCTAGTGATGACCATTCCAGTCCTATCATTCCAGTGATAACCATTCCAATCCTTCTGATCACATTAGTTTTCTCTCTGATCACATTAATGTGATGCCCACCTCAAAGGAGGTTAATTGATGCTAGTAAAGGAAGGTGGCGGGTAGGCCTCTGTGGATAAGGAATTGGACTTGCTCTTCCCTTCCTTGGATAGAATCTGAATGCCCTTCTTTCTCCTTAATGCTTCATGACCCCTTTGAGCTTAGATCTTCTTCCATGAATGTAACGATAACTCTGATCACTTTGCTCTGTAAGGTGCATTCTTACTTTACTCAAGACTTTGTGACTACATTAAATTCTGGATATTGTGTTTCATTTAAAAAGGTAATTCAAAATCTAGGGAGCAAGGGGCTAGTAACCCCTTCTGTATACATTATTAAAGTTAAAAAGAGATACTTTTGTTTTTCTTTATTGGCCACCCTGCCTCAGTGGGATATGGTCGGTTTGTCGAAAGAAGAATTCAAAATTTTCTGCATTTCCAGTCTCCCCCTTTTGGGTTTCCTCTGCTTCTCTCTATTTTAGATAAATCTCAGTTATAACTCAACTTTTGTCTCGCTTCTTTTTTTTTTCTGTGAACTTCGGTGTTTTGTAGGGCTTGGCTCTGTTTTTCATTCTTATATTTTTAATAAATCCTTACAGTAATCAGGTGATTATAGAACCAGTTTGCTTTTTTCTTTTCTTTTTGTGCCTCTTTAAGGGGAGCCCCTTGCAACGGTAAAGAGGCTGCCGGCCTGAGGAATTGGACCTCATGGTCTTCTTACTCTGACTGAACTTAATTGCCCTCCAATCCTCCCTTCCCTACCCCACCCCACCCTCCCCATACTCCCCCTTTTTCCCCCTCTCCCCACCCTCCCCTTGTTTCCCATACCGTTTGTAGCCTCTGGGGTCCTCCCCTCTGGCATTACAGTTTCTAGGTAGGAGGTGGTGTGCCAGGGTTCGTCCCACTCTGTGAGGTCCCTCAAGGGTGGTGTGGTTTGCTGTGGAATCTGAATTATCTGAAGGTGCCCTGCTTCCTTCCCAGATTTCCGGGAAGAGGGCAGGGTGCCCTTCGGGTAATGGGTGTATCTCTGGAAGCTGCCTGTCGCTTCTGGGAGGTGGCACCTGAAGGGGGTATGCTTTGTGCTGGGTTTCCAACCGCCCTTTCTTTTGTCCGCCGAGGTAGCTCGGTAGATGTGAGGCTGCTGTCTCAGAGTGCTGGTTTACTGGCATGAAGGATAGGGTATGGCACAGGTTCCACGCTGCATCTTCACCACCGGTGGGCTCGAGGCCCTCTCGGATGAGGGGGGAAGCTTTCAGTCCCTCCATGTCTCCTAGCGACTGTCTCTCCGCTGTCCCTTCTTTGTTTTCTTTCCTTCTTTCTTTTTTTCTTAAAATAACAAGAAAGGAGATATCACAGAAGATGCACCTATTATTATGGAGTCTTTGTCCAGTGAAACCCTTCCTCCTCCCAGGCCCCATTCTGATCCCACACCCTGTTCTGGCCCAGCTTCATTATCGGACCATTCTCTCGACTCTTCTCATACCCCTGTTCCTTCTGCCAGTGACACTCCATCACCTGCTTTAGGTGCTGTGGCATCACCTGTTACTGTTCTTGCCGCCACTTCTAGCACACCTTTCACAATGCATCTGGCTTCCCCGAATATGGTGCGATGGTTTTCGGAGCGCCCACTTCCCTCAGGTCAGACCACTTGCGGTACTACTCCTAAGCGTCCAAGACAACCTACTGACGACAGTTCGTCAATGACCACTCAAAAATGACCTACATGACACTCACTATCTTTGCGTACTGGACTAACGAATACGCAATAGACAAAATTCTTTTCTCTACAAATGACGCCCCAAACGGATTATATTTCTGATCACGAGTACGCAATAGACAAAATTCTTTTCTCTACAAATGACTCCCCAAACGGATTATATTTCTGATCACGGAATTGGTAAAACTCATTTACGGCATGTTGGCCAAAATATATCCTTCCACTCTCTTCGAAGCGATGCGTGTGTCAGAACACTACAGAATTCAGAACAAGCTCATGCTCCGTCTCACATCACTTCCGTAGGTAACATACCAGTCACCGTTTGCAAGCACGCTACTCTTAATTCTTGCAGTGATACTGTGCTCTTACCGCTTACCATTGTACAGGGTGATGTTTTGTCTTGCGGTGAGAATATTTTAGAACAATTAGCCCTTCAGAATTTCCCTATTCTTAAGGTAGATACAGTGGAACCTCAAAAATCGAACGTATCACATATCGAATGTTTCGAAAATAAGACCATTTTTTCGGACAAACTGTGTCCCTATTATCGAACGCGCCCCTATTTTCGGACCGCCGGGTACGGGACCTGTCCGCTGGCCGGCTCTGTCCGCGTCCCTGCACAGGTGCCGTGAGCAGTCTAGCTTTGTTTTTGCTTGAGTGAACACTAACCTGCGATCTCATTCACACATTTTACGATTATTTAATTGTGTTTAGTGCTTGTGGGGCTGTGAAATAAGCTGCCATGGGCCCTAAGAAACTTGCTAGCGGTACCCCTGTGGTAAAGAAAGTGAGAAACACCATAGATGCGAAGAAGGAAATAATACAGAAGTATGAGATTGGATTGAGATTTGTTGAGCTTGCCAGGATGTACAGAGAACTGTGGACAGTTATTTTGTGAGACAGAAACAGACG